CACACACACACACACACACACACACACACACGCACACACACACACACACGCGCACACACACGCGCGCACGCGCGCACGCACGCACGCATCCACCCCGCGACCCACCCCGCCCCAGCACGCGCGCAAGGGCGCGCGAATGATTTCGGAATGCGGCGCCAGAGGCCCGTTCGGCAGAATTCAATGAATATGATGTAAATCGAATGGCTTTTCTTGAGAATTCGCAACCTTCACCGCCCGCATGCGTCGCCCGCGCCCATTCCGGCACACCCCTCACACGCCTCGCGGCCCCATAGGGGGCCCCGCCGAAGGCCCCAGCGGCACCGCGCGCATGGCCCCATGGGGCGCTCCACCGAGGGCCCCAGTGGCACCGCCCGCATGCGTCAGCCACCACCCAGCGCAGCGTTTCGCGCCCCCGTGAGAGGCTCCACCGAAGGCCCCAGTGGCACCGCCCGCATGCGTCAGCCACCACCCAGCGCAGCGCTTCGTGGCCCCATAGGTCGCTCCACCGAAGGCCCCAGCGGTGCCGCCCGCATGCGTCAGACACCACCAGTACAGCGTCTCTTTGCCCCGGATGGAGCTCCACCGACGGCCCCAGTGGCGCCGCCCGCATGCGTCAGACATCACCCAGTACAGCGCTTCGTGGGCCCATAGAGAGCTCCACCGACGGCCCCAGCGGCACCGCCCGCATGCGTCAGTCACCACCCAGCACCGCGCTTCGTGGCCCCATGAGGGGGCTCCACCAAAGGCCCCAGTGGCACCGCCGGCATGCGTCAGCCACAACTCAGCACAGCGTTTGGTGGTCCCATAGGGGGCCCCACCGAAGGCCCCATTGGGGCCGCCCGCGTGCGTCGGCCACCACCCAGTCCGGCGTTTCGTGACCACATAGGGAACTCCACCAAAGGTCCCAGCGGGGCCGCCCACATGCGTCAGCCACCACCCAGCACAGCGCCTCGTGGCCCCGTAGGGAGCTCCACAGAAAGACCCCAGTGGCACCGCCCGCATGCGCCGCCCACCGCCCAGCACTGCACTTCGCGGCCCCATTGATTGGGGGCTCCACCAGGCCCCAGTCGCACCGCCCACATGCGCCCCCCCCTCCCGGCACAGCGTTCCGCGGCCCCGCAGGAAGCTCCAGTGGCACCGCCCGCGCGCGACCCTTCACCCAGCGCAGCGCTTCGTGGGCCCATGGGGGGGCCCGCCGAAGCCCCAGTGGCACCGACCGCATGCGCCCCCCCCTCCTTGTAGAGCGCTTCGTGGCCCCATAGGTCGCTCCACCGAAGGCCTTGCCGGCACCGCCCGCATGCGCCGGCCGCCACGCAACGCAGCGTTTCGTCCGTAGGGAGAGCCGCGTACAATTCCTAGCGGCAGTCGGATCTTATGAATAGTTTGACAAACCGATGGGTTTCTTCAGACTTCGCAAGAGCGCGCGCAAATTTTATGTCGAACATCTGCGTTTCGAAACCAATTGTTTTTATTTATTGCGCGCGCGAAGACGCGCGCGCGTGCACTTCGTTCATTTCGTTGCCAGGGATTTTTGACAACTGGTGATTTTGGATTAGCGAGTACGCGCGCGTATTCTTTTGCAAAGGATGACGGGGGAGGGTCGATGCCGGTTTGCTCGGGATGGTACGGGCTCGAATTCAGGATGGACGATAGGGCAGAATCGCATGTGAATTGCAGCGCGAAGATGCGAGTCTCCAGTCCGCGAACCAAGCAGAGGTTGAGCAGGGTCCGCGGCTGCAGCGGAGGCGATGCAGCAGCAGACGGAGCAGCTGCCGAGGCAGAACGAGGAGCTGAACCGCCGCCCCCTGGAGACGGAGCGCCTGACTCAGCAGGCGCCGCGGAAGAGGCCAGCGGCAGCGGCAGCAGCTCCAGCGACCGGAGTCGACACAAGGCTTGTCAAGCAACCTGGAGCGTTCGACGGAGCTCGCGCTGAGTGGTCGGACTGGAGTTTCACGTTCAGGGCCTACGCTGCGGCGGCGAGCGTGGCCATCACGAGGCTGACGACGACAGCGGAGGCGAAGGGCCCAGAGCCGATGGAGATCCCAGATGAAGACTTCGACGCGGAGCAGGCCCAGGCGAACGGTCAGCCTTACTACGTGCTGGTGATGCTCGCGAAGGGGGCAGCCTTGAAGAAGGCCAAGAGTGCTCCAGTCGGGCACGGCTCTGAGGCATGGCGTCTGCTGGTGTATGAATACGAGCCGAAGCCGAGGAGACGGTTCCAGGCGATGCTGTCATCCGTGCTGCGCGCGAAGCTGCCCGACCCCCTCAGCGAGAGCCTCGACAACTTCGAGAGGATGGTGAAGCAGTAGACGGACCAGTCGGGCAGGGAGATCCCCGACGAGATCTTGGCAACGACGGTCTTCAGCGGCATCGAGAACCAGACGGTCGGCCTGTACCTAGACCTGAATGACTCGACGCTGGACACGCGACGCACCCAATTATAGCGGACTCGGTCAGCACATACATCAGCGCGAGCAGGACGTGGCAGACGACGGAAGTTGGTGACCCGATGGAGGTGGACGCCATGGTCAGCAACGGCGGCAAAGGAAGAGGCAAGGGTAAGGAGCCGAGAGGCAAGGGTAAGGACCCGAAAGGCAGAGGCAAAGCGGCTGACAAGAGCGACAAGAAGTGTTTCTATTGCGGAAGCATTGGCCGCGTCGCGCGCAACTGCCGCAAGCGGATTGCCGACGAGAGGGCAGCCGGCAAAGGAGTACAAAGGAGACGACGGCAGTAAAGGATCCAAGGGGTCGAGAGGAGAGAGGGAGAGAGAGAGAGAGAGAGAGAGAGAGAGAGACGCGCGAGGATCGCAGCCCTTCAGCAGCATCAGCCGCAGCCCGCTGCGCCCGCCTAGCAGCCAGTGCCAGCAGCCAGCCTGCAGCCACAGCAGATGGCAGCGAGGTGCGCGCAGCTGGCTTTCCAGCAGGCGGCGGCAGCGGCAGCACCGCAGAGGGCACAGCAGCAGCAGTCCGCGACGCTGATCGCAGCCAACGTGGACGCGTGGCCCGACACTGATGACGAGCACGGCATACACATGCTCCTCGAGGCGACCAGCAACGACGGCAAGGAGGGCCAGGGGAACGACGCGGGCAGCAGGTTCGGCTTCAACGAGCTCGACGCGATGACGACCTAGGGGATCGAGGATACCCCCGATGGCGACCCGCCCGTGGCGATGATCAACGACAACCAGCCCGACCCAGTCACCCACGTCTACCTGGCCCTGGCGGAGATCTCGGACGAGAACGACGCGGTCTGGGTCATGTTCGACATTGGTTCGGGGGCCACGGCTTGCCCTAGCAACTTCGCGCGGGACATCGAGGTAGACGCGTCGAGAGGTAGAGGGCCGTGGTGCGAGGCGGCTACTGGAACCTCGGTTGATCTACGAGGCAGACACTGCGTGCCGATGCTTATCGAGGGCCAGCCGTTCGGCTTCGACTTCCACGTCGGGAACGTTCACAGGCCGATCGTGATCGCGCAGGCATTCCTGGATGCGGGCTACGGGGTCCACCTTGAGCAGGACTATAGCTACATGTTGGGCCCGAAGGGTCAGGTCATCCCCATCCACAGGCGCCACCGCGCGTTCTCGTCGAGGGTGAAGAGGTCTGGTATGACTAGTGGCATGGAGGTCATCTCGGCAGTGCAGCCTGCGCTGGAGGGCAGGCCCCTGCCAGTAGTGGCAAGAGACCCAGAGCAGCAGGGGCGAGCTCATCCCCAGCAGGGCCAGGAGCGAGTTCGGCAGCGGCAGCGGCGAGCTCGTCCTCGGCAGGACCACGAGCAGGTTCGGCAGCGGCGGCGGCAGCGCAGCCGCGGGGCGAGGGGGCGCCCCCCACCAGCAGAGCCGAGGGCACGTGCCGAGATGGACGCCAACGACCTCGTGGAGGACACGAAGCGGTCTCAGGCGATCTCGGAGGAGGCGCAGCGGGCCCGCGCGCGCGGGATCCCGACCATGCCACCCGTGGCGGAGCGTCTCACGCATCGACTGATTCACATGCCGTGCAGGAACTGGTGCGGGGACTGCGCGGCGGGCAGAGGGCGAGAGGCCCCACATCCTAGGAGGACAGTTCGGGAAGCCCTGCTCCCACGCGCGTGGATGGACTACTGCTTCCCGTCCACTAGGCGCGATGTGACCAACCAAGTGGTGATCCTGGTTGTGCTCGAGGAGGACTCGGGTGCGATCGAGTCACTGCCCGTCCCCGGGAAGGGGCCAGCTGATTTCCACGTGAAGACGGTGGCCAGGGCCATCGAGTCTTGGGGGCGCAAACGAGCGGTGTGCGCCACCCACGGTGAGCCTGTTATAAAGGCGCCGATCACGGCGATCAAGCTGGAGCGGAAAGACGAGACAGCGTGTTCCTCGGCGCCTCGGTACGACTCGCAGCCGAAAGGCCCCATTGGGCGCTCACGCGCTTCGCGGAGGGTTCGGACTGGTTGGCCCCTTACTGGAGGCCCCGAGGCAGGCCCTGCAGGGGAGCGATCGCGGAGATGTGCGAGACCGTCTTCTTTCACAAGATGCACCGGCACAAGGGGGGGTTCAGGGCCCAGTGCGAGAAGGGCATCTGGCTGGGAAAGGTCGCGCGCCGAGCGGCAGGCCGCTAGCGAGGTCAGTGGCAGGACGGCCAGAGGACGAGCGCTGGTCAGGAAGGCTGCTGGCCCAGGTCGTCTGCGCGCCGCGCGGCACAGCGGCCGCCCTCGCGCCGAAGGAGGCGGTCCGGAGGAGCACCTGCCTCACGAAGTCGGTGTTGGACAGGTTCGGCAGGACCGCTGGTTGCAAGGCCTGCGAAGGCAGAGGAGGTCCGCGCACCCGCGAGTGCCGGAAGAGGCTCGAGGAGGCGCTCGCCGAGGACAGGAGGCAGGCAGGCGAGGAGCCAGCAGGCGCGCAGGCTCCCGAGGAGACAGCGCCAGCGCCAGCCCAGGAGGCTAGCGCGGGCCCCGCGGCCGCTGCGGCCGCCCCTCCTGGGGGGGCGCCCCTGGCGGAGCCATCGCAGGCAGCGCCGGCTGACGGCCGGGGGCTGCGCGACGTCGGCAGGCCGATGGTGGTTGGCGGCGGGCGGGGAAACAAGCGCGGCCAGCGCGGCGTGGAGATTGCAGCCGACCAGGATGTCAAGAAGTCTCGCGTCGCCGACAGGCCGATGCAGATCGACGGCGGCCGATGACAAGCGAGAAGTCCGGGCAACGGCGCCCAGGGCGACGCGGAGTCCAAGAAGCTTCGCACCGTCGGAGGCTTCGGGCGTGAACCCGGCGCAGTGCGTGTTCGCGGCCATGGTCATTGAGGTCGCTGATGTCAACGTGGAGGCGTCAGCGCACGCGGCTAGGTCAGGCATCTTGCTGGGCCCCGCCCTGGTGGAGGCAGGGCGTCAGCGAGAGAGGGGGCCCACGCACGAGTTCGGGGCGCACGAGCACGCGCTGCGGAGCGAGGCTCGCGGCAAGCGCGTCGGTGCCCAGTGTCTGCGCGACGAGCGCCACGACGACGACGGAGCGATGTTCGCGCGCGCCCGCCTCGTGGCCATGCAGGTGGCGCGGGAGGCTGGGAGCGACTGCTTCGCAGGGGCGCGCAGCTTGCCCTGCGCGGGGCTCGTCCTCAGCTTCGTGGCCACGCTGGTCGGAGGAGCTCTGAGGAGGCTGGTCGCGCTGCACGACGTGTCGGTCGCCCTTTACCACGCGCTGCTCGATGAGGACATCTGGGCGGGCCCACCCAAGTCAGAGGGGGGGTCCTCGGCGCGCGCGGCAGCTTCGGAAGGCACTCTACGGCACGAGAAGAGCAGCACTGAAGTTCCAGGAGTGCGTCATCGACGCGCTCGCGAGGTCAGGCTTCAAGGGGGTCGCAGCGGCAGCTCAGGCGTTCAACCGCGTGCGTCGGGCGATCCTTACGGCGACGACTTCTGCGCAGGAGGCGAGCGGGAGTAGCTAGACTGGCTCGACGGAGTTCTGGAACAGTGCTTCGCGATCAAGCGCGGGCCTCGAGTCGGCCCGCCAGCAGTTGGAGGGACCGACCACGGCCTCTGCATCAAGCACGAGATCAGCTGGGCCGACGATGGTTTCCACCGGCTCGCCGACACGGCGCACCTCGAGAAGGGCATCGCGCACGGCGACAGGGCCGAGAGGGGCGCGCCCAGCCGACTCTTCAGCCCAGGGAGCAAGCGCGCGGGCAAGAGTCGGAAGGGCGCGGCAGACGTGCTTGGCGACCAAGGGCGGAGCGAGTACAGGAGCCTCGCCCCGCTGGCACACTTCGCGGCTGTCGATCGCTCAGACATATTGTGCGCGACGGGAGTGCCGGCGAGGGCGCTGGAGGAACCGCGGTGTTGCAGGGGCTCCAGCTGGAACGCCTGGGGAGCCACCTCAAGACGCGCAAGGAGTTGCAGTGGGACTTCGTGTGCCAGGAGACCCTGCGGGAGCTGCGCGTTGAGGCGGGCTCCGACTGGGCGCGGCGCCCGAGGGCCAGGAGGCCCACTGTTGGTGGGCTCGTGTTCTGGGGCAAGCATCTGTAGGACAGTTACTGCGGGCAGCACCAGAACATCGCCCTTTCGTCGGGCGAGGCTGAGCTGCGCGAGTTGGTGAACGGGGCTGCACGCGGGCTGTCCTTCAAGCAAGTGCTAGAGGAGATGGGCGTGCTGAACCTTGTGGCGAAGGTCGGCGGTGACTCGGCGGCGGCGCTGGGCATCTCCCACAGCCTTGGCGCGAGCCGAAGAAGGCACCTGGGGGCCAAGCAGCTTTGGATCCAGAAAAAGACGAGGTCGGGAGAGGTTCAACCGATCAAGATCAAGACAGCGGTGAACAGGGGAGACCTGCTTACCAAGTTCCATGACCCCGAGGGGCATTGGGCGCTAGTGAGTGCCCTACCGCTGAGCGTGCCTTCGGCAAGGCGCGGTGCGAGCGCGCTGGCGGTAGCGGCGGCGCTGATGCACCTGCCCGAGACGGCAGAGGCGTTGGGCAAGAAGGAGACCGAGAGCATGGGGATCAACCCAATGCTGGTGGCGCTCTGGCTCGTCGTCCTCAACTGGCTCATCTCGAGGCTTCGGGGCAAGAAGTCAGCTAGGAAGATGGACCAGAGCGCCCAGACGGACGAGGTGGTCCATGACACAACTGTGCCAGACTCGAGCAGCATTAGGTCGGCAGCCAGCACTGCGAGGCGCAGTGAGCGTGTCTTCGCGGCGCTGATGTTCGGCGAGAAGTCTCGCTCCACTCGCGTGTGCGGCGGTCTGTCGACCGCGAGGGAGGTGAAGGATTTCGAGAGATGCAAGGTTCGCGGCTGAGTGAGTGAGTCCCCAGGTTGCCCATGCACGTTGCCAGCTTGGTGCAGCCAGGCACCGGAGCTGATGGAGTCCCGACCCAAGGGGGTCGACGGTTTTACCTTCGAGGCTCGAGCGATGCCAGCTCGGGCGGGCTCCCGCGGAGAGAGTCGTGAGCGCGGGTGAGGATCAGAGCGCTGGAGATGCTCTGATCGAGGTTGCGCGCGCAGCAGAGAGAGCCCCTTGGGCGGAGTTGGCCAAGGGGCTGTCGAGGGGGCCCGCTGAGGTCTGGAGAGACCATGGCGAGGAGGCGCGCGAGTCTCCCGCCCCCGATGTCAGAGAAGGATAGGGATGGACATGGCGCAAGCTACGTGTTGCATCCGACGCTGTATCTGCTCGCGCGCGCCTTGCCAGTCCAGGAGAAAGGCGGGGCTCTTGGGGCTCAGAGTTGGGCTTTTTGGGCCCATTGGGGGCCCCAGAGGCCGAGGTGGGTTCCACGTGGACAAGGGGCAGGGGGTCATCCCGGGGGGCATAACTCATCGATTTTATTTTTACAAGAAGAATATTGGCGGTGCAGTACACTTGTGGAACTCGCAGTTGTCAACTCCACTGCTCGCGCAGCCGCCCAACCCGTCCGCCCGCAACTTTTTCTGCAAAGAACGAGCGGCGGCCATTGCCATGAGTGCTTGGCGTTGGCTGGTGCATCTGCGGCCGCGCCAGCCCGCGCATGCACTTGCGCGCGGCGGCCAGCTAGTTTGGCGCGACCAGCGCGGCCGCGGTGGCGCAGACCGCTGGGCGCTTCATTTCGAGTCGGCGACTTGGGCGGGCGCGCATCATGGCAACGTAGATTGACAGTAGACACGATGATGATAGTAGCGATGCCCGTGGCGATGTGGGCACCGACGACGGCGCGGCCAGAGACGGCGCCGATGCGAATCACGCCGACGACGATGATGGCGCCCTCGCGTCGTTGATGAAGGTTTTGGATGAAGTTCGACATGCGCGCGCGGCCAACGCGATAGAGCTACCCGCATGGTATTATTTGACACGGATCGTGCTCCCCCCCCATCGCGCGCAAGGGCGGTCGTATGATTTCGGCATGAGGCGCGAGAGGCCCGCGTGGCCAAATTCTCATGGTGTTCTTCAGAATTCGCAAGAGCGCGAGCGCAGGCTTATTTTGTTTGTGAAAAATGTCGTTACGAAGCCATGTGTTGTTCATGGTTTGGCGACATTCTGTTTTGATATCTTAAAGAAACGTCAGTCTTTTTTGTTTACGGATGACGGCATGCACGCGCGCGACGACGCGCGCACATGAATTTCGCCCCACTCGTTGCAAAAGGGTTTTCGCGACAGCACGCGCGCAAGGGCGTTCGAACGATTTCGACATGCGAGCGCGCGAAGCCCGCTTGGTATGATGGAATGAATACGTTATATGTTGTGTCCATATATATATACATATATACTACAGCATGTGTATATATATATATATATATATATATATATATATATATGTATATATATGCATATTATATATATATATATATATATATATATATTATATATATGGTCGCACCCCCCTATGATCAAAATCACGCCTCTTTGCGGCATCTCGTTCGTCTGTCAATCTTTCGGATGCAATTGGCCGCAGCTTTGCTTTCGGAGGCAATCGGGGGAGCAGGAGGGCGGGAGGGTTGGAGAGCTGGAGAGCTGGAGAACGGGAGAGCGGGAGAGCGGGAGAGCGGGAGAGCGGGGCAGCGGGAGAGCGGGAGAGCGGGAGAGCGGGAGATCGGGAGAGCGGGAGAGCGGGATATCGGGAGAGCGGGAGAGCGGGGAGAGCGGGAGAGCGGGAGATCGGAGAGGGGGAGGAGAGGAGGCGAGAGTAGAGCGGGAGAGCGGGAGAGCGGGAGAGCGAGAGGGCGGGAGAGCGGGAGGGCGGGAAAGTGGGAAAGCGGGAGAGCGGGACAGCGGGACAGCGGGACAGCGCGACAGCGGGACAGCGGGACAGCGGGACAGCGGGACAGCGGGAGAGCGGGAGAGCGGGAGAGAGGGAGAGCGAGAGGGCGGGAGAGCGGGAGGGCGGGAAAGTGGGAAAGCGGGAGAGCGGGAGGGCGGGAGAGCGGGGAGCGGGAGAGCGGAAGAGCGGGAGAGCGGGGAGAGGGAGAGTGGGGAACGGGAGAGCGGGCGAGCGGGAGGGCGGGAGAGCGGGAGAGCGGGAGAGCGAGAAAACAGCCACCCGTGCCCGGGTGCGGGTGACGGGTGACGGACCCCGCTCTCCCGCTCTCCCGCTCTCTTGCCCTCCCGCTCTCCCACTCTCCCGCTCTCCCGCTCCCCCGCTCTTCCGCTCTCCCGCTCTCCCGCTCTCCCGCTCTCCCGACCTCCCGCTCTCCCGCTCTCCCGCTCTCCCGCTCTCCCGCCCTCCCGCTCTCCCGACCTCCCGCTCTCCCGCTCTCCCGCTCTCCCGCTCTCCCGCTCTCCCGCCCTCCCGCTCTCCCGCTCTCCCGCTCTCCCGCTCTCCCGCTCTCCCGCTCTCCCGCTCTCCCCCTCTCCCGCTCTCCCGCTCTCCCGCTCTCCCGCTCTCTCGCTGTCCCGCTCTCCCACTCTCCCGCTGTCCCGCTCTCCCGCCCCCCCGCTCTCCCGCTCCCCCGCTCTCCCGGTCCTTGACTCTCCCATTCTCCTGTTCTGCCGCTCAGGGCCCGAAGTGATGCGGAGGAGGAGGTGGAGATGGAGGAGGAGGAGGATGAGGAGGCGGAGAGGATGGAGGTGGGAGGAGGAGGAGATGTAGGAGGAAGGGCAAGGAGGAAGAGGTAGAGGAGGAGGATGAGGATGAGAGGAGGAGGAGGAGGGGCAGGATGAGGAGGTGAGGACGAGGAGAAGCAGGAGGAGCAGGAAGAGGAGGATGAGGAGGAGGACGAAGACGAGGACGATGAAGCAGAGGAGGCGGATGAGAATGATGAGAAGCAGGAGTCTGATGATCTGGAGAGGAGGAGGCGCAGGAGGAGTTGGAGGCATATGAAACGAAGGAGTCGGAGGATAATGAGGAAGAGGAGGAGGAGGAGTTGGTAGAGGAGGAGGTGCAGGAGGAGGAGGAGGAGGAGGAGGAGGCGGATGAGGAGGGGGCGGAATAGGAGGGGGCGGAATAGGAATCAGGAGGAGGAGGAGCAGCAGCAGGGGCGAGGAGGAGGAGCAGGAGGTGGGGTGAGGATGAGGAGGAGGAGGACCATCAGCAGAAGGAGGAGGGAATGGTATAGTAAGTTTTCATTGACTGTAATACTCCTCATCATCCTTCCCATCCTCTCCTTGCATCATCCCCACTTCCATCCTTCTCTTCAAATCCTAGTTCAGCCTTCTACTTACGCTGCTGTCCTATGCTTATGATGATGATGACGCCGGTGTTGATGATGATGATGGTGCCGATGGTGATGGTGGCGACGATGACGATTACAATTGTCCCGATGCCATGGGGATGATGATGGTGACGATGGCGATCGTGGCGATGAGAATGACGATGATGATGACGGTGACGATGGCGATGACGATGGCGCTGACGATGACGACGGTGAAGATGGTGACGATACTGGTGCTGATGATGATGATGATGATGATGACTGCGGTGGAATCTGGGCCCGGGCTACCACAGACTGCACTGCCCTCCCGTTCCCCCGCTCCCCCTGTCTCCTGCAGAGAGAGAGAGAGAGAGAGAGAGAGGGAGAGAGAGAGAGAGAGACACACCAGCGCCAGGAAGAGTCACGCGTGACACCCAGATCAGGAGATGAGATCGAGAGCGAGGGGGGAAGAGCGAGAGCGAGGGAGGATGGGTGTAGGCGCTTAGAGCCATCATATAGCTAGCCTCCCCTGGCGCTCACCTTGCAGTGCCACTGATGTCATCATCGCCACCATCACCACCGCGAGGACCATCAACACGATAACCAGAATCCCCAGCAGCACCAAGACCACCACCATGATCGCGATCGACAGCATCACCTAGACTTCGAGCGTCACCATCACCGTCGCCATCGTCATCGTCATCGCCACTAGCACCAGCAGTCCCACCCACCAAGATCATAGTCGTCACTGTCATCATCAACATCACCGCCAGCTGGGGCACCACATCTTCACAGGCATCATTTCCATCGAACTATTATCAAGATGGGGGCCATCACTACCACCACTATGACTATCGCGATGATGCCACTACCTCCTGGCCACCAACACCACAACACCATCATGTGCAGTGGCATTGACATCGTCATCGTCATCCTCAGTTGCACCATCATCACTCCCACCTGGCACCACCATATATGTATCGCAACCAGCCCCTGGGACATCACCGCGAACACCACCTAGTCAACAGCTAACACCAGTATCATCACGATGACCTCCACTAGTAGCTGGGCATGCAGCATCGCACCAATACCGTCGCCATCACTACCAGCAACATCAATCCCGCCCACCACCTTAGCACTCTTTATCGTCATCATCGTCATCACCGCCATTTGGATCACCACCACTGGCAACAACTCAATTTGGCAGCATGACAAGTGGACCATCACAGCGACCACCATCAATACCATGCGCACATCATTACCACCTGGCCACGAAGTCGACAACACTGACACAACCGTTTAGCATATGTAGTCATCATCGCCAGTACACCACCATCACTGCCACCGGGTCCGCCACCGCCACCATTTGCCAAGACACCCATCATCTGCACTGCAACCCGTCTCTGGGCCATCACCGCCAACGCCATCTGGCCAAACACTTCCGCCACCATCATCATCACGACTACCTGTAGTAGTAGCCGGGCAGACAAAACTGTAACATCGCCACTGTCACCATCGCAAGCATTAACCCCACCCACCCCGATGATATTTTTGTCATCGTCATCACAACCACCGGGACCATAATCACCACCACCGGCCTCAACTCCACTGGAAGCAGCGCCTCCAACACCTCTGCCGTCACCATCGCCACCATACCTGGCCCAATACCCTCACCATCATAATAATCGC